CAACCACATCCACTCATAACGAGATGCAGAGGGAAGGCAGGAGGCCAGCGTGAGCCCACATGAGCTTCACTCCTCTCTCCCAGGGCCAGTGAGCCAGCTGGAGCCCCCTCCGCTCTCCGGCATCAAGGAGACTCAGCTGACTCAGGACCCCCTTGTGCACGTGGCTGTGGCCCAGTCTGGAGTTAACCGCTGGTCTCCACCTGGAGGAATGAGGCTGTGAAAGGCCAGCCAGAGTCTCGCAGTCACCTCCTCCACCACCCTAAGAGGAAGGTCAGCAGGAAGCTGAGCCTGTCTACCTTGCAGCAAGACAGTGAGCTGAGACCAGCAGCTTCCACTGGCCCCCCGCCCTGGTGGTGACTAGGAGGGGCAAGGTAAGAGCTCAGTACCCACCCCGTATCCCCACATACCGCCCCGCTTCCAGGCACCCACCCACCCACATATATACACACACAAAGCTAGGGAGCAGGGCTTCACTCCTTCTGGAAGGGTAGAGTAGGCAGGGACCTGACCCTTGCCTGTTGCAAGAGACCTTACACAGCACTCAGCATCCCCTACAGTAAAGTCAAAGGCCGAGTGAAAACCTCAGATCACTGCTCCAAAAGCAGCAGCTTAACATGCTGTGCCACCACGCTGGCCCCTGCACATGATCTTAAAAGGACACAGTGAATTGTAGGCAAATGGTGGCCTCTAGGTAACTGACACGCACTACTGAGGGACTTAACGGGCAGTGTCCTCTTGACTTACAGGCGTTATGCTTTGAAATGCTTCAGAAACATGAGCTGATGAAGTACAAGAGAGGAATGAAAAGATGTGAAGGTAAGATAAACCATCGGGAAGAAAATCCGGGAGGTGGGTTTCCAGGGACTCCAGTCCCAAGTTGCTTCTGTTTGAAAATGTTGGCAGCAAAACGTTGAGGGGAGGACAGGGAGGAAGTCTCGGCTGTTAGTCGGGGACAACACAAGGCAGGAGTGGAGGAGAGATCAGATAACACACCGCAACTCGGGGAATTCGAGGGGAAAGCATCCATGGGAGGACATTTGGGAAGGTGAGCTGGTGCTCGGGATGTAGTATGTATGTCTACCAGGGCTGGATGAAACGGAAGTGAAGCACAATGGGAGGGGAGAAATCAAGTCTGATGCTCAGGTTCCTGGGAGCCAGGACCATTTTATGAGCCAAGGGAGACCGATGCGGCGAGGGGAGTCCAATACCATTAGGGGCTTCTTAGACCCAAGATGCCTTGGACATCCCTGTGTGGGCATTCAGGCAACTATGATGGGAGTATTAGGATCCAGGATCCAGAAGATAAGAGAGTGTGGCTAGCTCTCCCAGGACAAGTACAGAAATGATGATAATAATGCTACTAAAATACTGTACACAGTGTAAAGAAATCTGACATTCAGAAGACTCAAAGGATGTTAGAAGAACGCTGTTTCAAGTGCACGTAGCAGAAAGGTGATCAACAGTGGAGACTGGGAGAATGCGACAAGTGGCCTTTAGCCGTTGTGGCCACTTGGAGGGTGAACCAGTGGATGGAAGATCTTTACGTCTATTTCTCCTTCTCTCTGTAAATCTGCCTTTCCAATAAAGTTAATCAATCTTTAGGAAATAAATAAAATAAATGTGTTACTCCTATTTATCAGAAAGGTAAAGTGACAGCTTTCTTTCCCGGTTGCTCACAACAGCCGTGACTCTGGCCGACGGAAGCCGAGAGCAGAGAACTTAGCTTCAGTCTCTGACAGCAGGGGCCCCGGGCCTGCCTCAGCATGGCTGCTTCCCAGGGTGTACATGAGCAGGAAGCTTAACTGGGAGTGGGAAAAAGGAATTGAATCCAGGCATTCCCACGTGGGCTACGGGCATCCCAAGCAGTGGGTTAATCCACTGCATCACTCTTTGGTATGAAACCCGATGTTATGAATTAGGGTTTGAGCGTGTTATACAACCAGGCTTCAGCAGAGAGAGACTCAAGTAGGTGTGAGAAGTACACGCAATCACTGGGTGGACTAATCAAGAAAATGAAAGTTCAGTGCCAGGGAAACTTCAAGTGCAGCAAGTCAAAATGTTACAGAATCCTACTCAATGCCTTTGAAGTCTGCTCCAACTCCTTTGAACAGATGACATGAGTAATTTTATAGCAAAACGCAAGTCACTGACCCCAGGAAAAATAAGTCTAGACAAATGACAGCCAACACCAGTGGGCGGGGCCAGCACCACTGGGCAAAGCCAGCACCGCTGGGCAGGGCCAGCACCACTGGGCGGGGCCAGCATCCCTGGGTAGAGCCAGCACCACTGGGCGGGGCCAGCACCACTGGGCGGGGCCAGCACCACTGGGTGGGGCCAGCACCACTGGGCGGGGCCAGTACCACAGGGCAGAGCCAGCATCACTGGGCGGGGCCAGCATCACTGGGCAGGGCCAGCATCCCTGGGTAGAGCCAGCACCACTGGGCGGGGCCAGCACCACTGGGTGGGGCCAGTACCACAGGGCAGAGCCAGCATCACTGGGCAGGGCCAGCATCACTGCACTGTGGAGGAAGCCACATCATGGACTGCTGGCGTCCAGGATCAGCCTACCAGCTCTAGCCCCGGCTGCTCTGCTTCCAATCAAGCTCCCTGCTGATGTATTTGGGAAAGGACCCAAAGGTGACCCAATAACTCAGGCCTCAGCCACTCATGTGGGAGACCAGCTGGGAGTTTCAAGCGCCTGGATTTGGCCCTGGTCTAGCCATGGCTACTGTGATTATTTGAGGGAGTGACTCACTGAATGAAAAAACCAATCTCTCTCTCCCTTTCTGTTTCTCCCTCTTCCCTTCCATCTCCCTATCTGTCAGTCATTCTGCCTTTTAAACACATACACACTTAAGTCATGACTCTTGAAAACCGCAGTTGCCCTCCACACTGTTCAGCAGTGCTGCATGTGTGTAGCCTGGGAACCCCATCTGGAGTGCACACCACAGCACGAGTTAAGCAAGTTGCAACTCATCCTCTTCTGGTACTCACTCCTTCTCTTACCATTTGGGGAGTGAACCAATGGCTGGAGCACAGACTCTCTGTGTCTGTTAGCTTCAGCATAAAGGAGAGCCACTGGACTCAGAAACCACAGCAAGACAGAAACTGCCCTGTGATGCTGCCACAGTGTCACCCTCGGGATGCCGTCGCCATGGGAGTCCCTGCTCAGCCACTTCTGTGAGTGCCACCTGCTTCCTCCCAGCTCTCCTGTGCATCTCACCCTAGGCTCTCAGCCAGCCAGCAAACATGCTCTCCTGGGACACTGTACTTGCAACACACACACACACACAGAATGATTGCTTTTCTGCGAGGAAGTTCTGGTCAATGTTCTGTCCTCTCTTTCCCTCGTCAGCATCCCTAATTCTGGGTTTCCGAGATGAGAGAGGGGCAGGACAAATTGGTGAGAAACAGAGTGAGGCCAGACACAAATAAATCCAGCCTCCCTATGCGGGAATGCACCATGCTTTAGAGGCCAGGGCCCTGAGCAGAAGTGACCTCACTGGGCCCAGCTGAGCCCCCTCCTTCCCTCCCCTGTCATGTAAACCCCTAAACTAACAGGGGCACAAGGCACCCATTCCTGCCCTGGAGTCTGTGAGGCAGGCCCATGTTGCTTGGCAACAAGTTCAGGGTGCAGGAGGGGTTGGGGGGGTGAGCGGCTCAGCAAACTTCTAAAGGCACAAAATAACCCAGGCCCTGGCACCCTGGGTGCCACACCAAAGCACCTGTAAGAGGCTCCCAGTCAAACGGAAGCAAAGGAACTCCAGCACGTGGAGGTGGCGTGCCCGTGACAGAGTGTCATCCGCGGAGTTGTCTCATTCTCTCCTTGTCCAGGGTTTCTCACAACCGAACGCCAGCCCCCTCTGCACAAACCCCGCCATCTTCACACCAGTAGGCACGGCCAATTGTTGTTGTTGTTGGCTTTGGCAAGACTGCAGTCTGTGCTTTGAAGGCATGGGGCAGGGGGAAAGGGGGGGAAGAAAAGCGGCCAAGTAGATTCCACCAGACAACGCTATTTTCATAAGCCAAGGTATTTCAAAGTAAAACCTCTGCAATGAACCTGCCTGTTCACACACATGGCTTCCATGAATAGCTGGCTGTAACTGCTCCCCTACGCACAGCCCCCCACCCCCACCTTCACCCGGCATGGCATTGCAAACTTGGCTTCATAGAATGCCTCATTGTAATCCAGGAGCATTGTTTGGCATTAATTTCGATGACAAGGGACCCAAAACACAGGGTGCTGAGAGTTAACAAAACACAAGTTAGGGAAGCAGCCACGACTTGGCACTGCGTGTGACAAGTGGCAAGAAAAGCCAACTCGGGATCCGCGGTGCTGTGGGTTTCCTATGAGCAACCTTTTCTCTCGCAAACAGTGTCATATTCTTTTCAAGCACATTTAGGACGCGGCTCAAGCTGTGTTTTATGCTGTGTTATAATAAACACAGTCAGTTTACTGTAACAAAGACGTAGGAGCGGTGATGGCGGTTGAAAGCCACGGTCCAACAGCATAAGCGGGGTGGGGGGGGCTGGGGGGGTGGATGGGTGGGTGGGGAGGCAACGGGTAAAATAAAAGACCAGCCGTCTGCAGAGTTCTCTTAAAAGAAGAGGGGGGGGGAGAGAAAAAGGGCAGTGTTTCCTTATGGGGACTAACACAGAATGCCAAACTATCTCACTGGGCTCTTTTTCTACTGTCACTCGGGGTGATGTGTAACTAAAAATAGCAAATTCTCCCACTTACTGGGTCCTCCTCTCTAGCGAAAGGGTGGGGGGGAGGGTGGAGAGGCGGGAAACAGAGCATAATAAAATGCAAAACTTCGGGACCCTGTTTTAAGTGGTAGCGCTATTTCTTATGGAAAACTCCATGTAAGTTTTTATCAATGTATTGTCAGCACAGCTCTGTTCCCTTCAAAATGAGCCTTTGGAAACATCTGTAAATTAGGCGTGCCCTTAAAAACGTTCGATCAAGTTGAAGGAGAGAGCTCACGCTCAAATCTTACCATTTCTTGAACCAACGCCTTTTCACAGTCGAGCTCGTATTTTAATCTCGCTCTGCCATCAATTAACTGAAACAGACAAGAATATGACGTGGTGGTTAAAGAGAGGAATATAGAAAGCCTTCCTCCAACAGAATTCAGCGGGATTTCCACATGGATCACAATATGAACACAGGACTCAGGGAATTCCTGGCGTTCCTACATTAGAATAATACAGACCCGGTGAAACAGATCCAGAAAATGCCGATGTATTAAGCCTCCTCAGCTCCCCACCACCCTAAAATGTGACAATAACATATAAAGAGATAATCCTACTCCTCCCATGCTTTCTTCTCTCTCTCTCCCTCTCTCTCTCTCTCTTTTTTCCAATGATTTATCTTATTTGCATCTGAAAGGCTGGGTTACAGAGAGCTCCATCGGGTGGTTCACTCCCCAGACAGCTGCAATGTCTAGAGCTGAGCTGATCTGCTCCAAGGCTGGGAGGTTGCAACTTCTTCCAAGTCTCCCACATGGATGCAGGGGCCCAGGGACCTGAGCCGTCCTCCACTGCTTTCCAGGCCATCAGCAGGGAACTGAAGGAGAAGTGGAGCAACTGGGACAAAAGGTGGTGTCCCTGTGGGACCCTGGCACTGCAGGAGGAAGCTCAGCCTACTGTACCACAGTGCCAGTCCTGATTTGTTCTCTTCATTTAGGTTTCCATGTGCACAAGGGGATGCTCACAAAGTTCCTGGGGAAAAAAATGGAAATGATGGGGGAAAAAAAGAAATCTATGCACAGACTTCAAAAATCTCCTTATCCCAGAAATACTCTCACTTTCAAATCCCATTATCCCCAAACTCTGGGAAGCACCCTGGGATGAAACCACTTTTCTACTGACGGACGACAGCCATCAGTGGTTACCGGCAGCAGGGTGGCTGTGTCCACATGCCTAGCTGTTTACATGTCACAGTCCCTTGGTTCTCATGTCCCTCTAGCTCAGGTGCTAGACGTTAGCGTAACGAACTTTCCCAGGGTCACTGTGATTCCTAGTGGTTGCAGGACTGTCAATGGACTGCCCGAGGAACCTCTGAACTGGTCTCTCTGGCTCTGGGTTTTCTAGCCTTTCCCAGAAAAGTCTGATCCTATCACAGTGTTCAGAGCTCCTCACAGCACCCAGAAGATACTGGAAATTCCTGGACATGCACAGTAACACTCCAATGGGGCCTTGCCCTTGCCAGGACCCAACCTCAGCTGCCCATCTTACTGGGGCTGACCACACATCCTTCCTCCACGCTCAGCACTGCCTCCCTGACGCCCACCCTAGCCCTTTGTGGCTAACTCCAGGCCTGCTCTGGCAGACAGCTCAGCTGTCCGTGATTCTGGGTCCCAGCCACACTGGTCTCAGCTCTTCCGCCCACTGCACACTGTGCATTCTCTGTGCCCTGATGCAGGCAGTGATCTGTCCTCCCCATGGGGAGGGGGTACACTGTGTGACAAACACAGATGTAGCTGTCATTAGGTAACTGGAATCGAAATGCCTGAGTTACAGAATCCCAGAGAAGAGGACCGAACCCCAAGTTCAGCCCCGTTGTGGACATGTTTGCAGAGTTGGGGGGACATGGAATCCATGTTGAATTGCCCCTCTTCCCAGGGGCCTGCTTGCCCCTCCCCAACACTCCCAGCCCTGCAATACAACTAGGCCCCACAAGGCAGCCAGGGAATCTGTCTCTAAGATGCTCGCTGCCATCCTCGGCTGCACCTGCTCACAAACGGTCCCACAGCTGTATCGCACACTGCATACTCTCCCCTTTCTTGCTAACCCAGGGGGACAAAAAGAAAACACAACTGGGGTGGGCCTCTCCAGGGAGAATGTGTGAGAAGGACCTCTCTAGAAACTTCCAGATGAAACCGGGCATCTCTTCCCCAGGTACATACTCCATTACACTTCCCATCACGTCACTTTCCAGCATGAGAGGGGGTATCCTGAGCCGAGACAGGCTGAAGACAGGAGCCAGGAACTCCATCCAGGTCTCCCCATACTTGGGTGGGGGCGCTATGAGCCCATAGCCAAGGTCACCTCTACGGAGTGCAAGGCAGATAAAGAAAGGCGAAAGGAAGACAGATGGACATTGAAATAAACTACCAAGTGTATTAGAGGCATGCTGATTTTTCTGAATTATAGCTGTCGCACAGAAATATGTAAATCATATATACATATATATACACACACATATATAATTTTGAACTTTATAATAACCTTTTCAAGGCAAAACAATGAGAATACCTTCTTAATGTTGTATTTTAACGCCAACACATGCAAACGAAAACTTATCATTCAATGTGTAGCCAATACTGGGAATGCTGGTGATGGACACTGGGGTGTGGTGGGTTAGGCTGCCACTTTGGATGCCAACAGCCTATATCAGAGTGACTGGTGTGTGCATGTCCTGCGGCTCTGCACTCCCCATCCAACCTCCTGCTAAAGTGCCTAGGAGGGACTGGTGTTGTAGCATAGTGCTTGAAGCCACTGTCTGTGGGCATCCCATATGGATGCCAGTTCAAATCCCGGCAGCTCCATTTCCAATACGGCTTCCTGCTTGTGAGTCTTGGAGGCAGCAGATCATGATGGCCAAAGTCCTGCGATCACTGTCATCCACATGGGAAACCAGGGCACAAGTCCCGACTCCGGGCGTTAGCCTGGCCTAACCTCAGCTGTAGAGGGCACTGAGGGCTAGAAATCCACTTCCTTCTGCCCCTGTCTTTGTCTCTCCCTCTCTCTCTCTTTCTCTGCTTTTCAAATAATTGACAAATCTTAACAACTATTAAAAACTATCAGTAATCTTTCACATTTTTTTTTCAATTTGGAAGCTATATTTTCACCAGAAACAGTTAACCTACTCTTTTGATCTCATGACACTTACCAGTGAGAGACAAGACTCACACACTCGTTATTGAAAATACACACCAAGGTTCTCCAACAACAAGGAGAGGTATAAGTGCAAAAATTAAAAAGCTCGGCAGGTACACAGTTTCTTTGAGTCCAACTCAAGGACTCAGCTGCCACTTGTGGTCAGGGGCTTGGCGCTGGGCAGTGGGGACACTGCAAGGGGAGGCTGCCCTCTCTGCCCTCGGCCGGTCTCGCAGCCGACCTAAGGGCAGATGGCCCCACAGCGGACAGTGGTGTTTCTGTTCAGATCCCTTACTGCGCTCCACACTGACACAGCAGCATGGCTGTGACTTGGCTCTGCCAGCCAGCATTACTGTAGACCAAGAGAGTTCTAGAAATGCTTTAAATTCGAGGACTAGTGATCTGGGAATTCTTTTCCAGCCTCTGAGGATGATGGTGGGGAGGTGGCACTCACTCCTGTGCTCACGGACCACAATGGAGCCTTTGTGGCAGATGCTGAGCCCATCTGCAATTCTGACCAGGTGTGGCAGGGCAACTGACATGTCCTTCAGATCTGTCTCTCTCTCTATCTCTCTCTGTCTCTCTCTCCCTCCCGCCCCCTCTCTTTTGCTTTCTCTCTCCCAAGCTGCTCAGCCAGCTCTGGCTGGGCTAGGGATGGAGGCCAGGGCCCATAGGCACCAGGGGTCCCTTGAACAGTGGCTCCTGTGTCTGAGCAACTTGGCTTTTAACGTGGTCCAATTGTAGCTCAAAAAGCCGATATTCAAGAGAGGTATGGGAAGAGGCTTGGGATCATGTGGGAGGACGTGGGATGGGACTCTGCCTTCTCTATAATGCTGATGAACTCTCACCCTACTAAGCACTCAAAGGGTTAGTACAAGCACAGGTGCAGCTCTGGGGGATGTCCGGCCTAAAGGAGCTGATGCTCCAAGGGACAGACATGAACCCTAACAGCAGGGGACCAGTGCCAGGTCCAGACAGCACAGCGCAGGGCACAGCAGACACAGAAGGCTGGGTGTTCATGAAATGGAAAGAATTCCCTGCTGTCACGGGGCTGCTGCTGTGGGGCAGCATCTTAATCCCCCATTCTGTGGCGCCAGGATCCTATATGACATGATCCTATATGGTGCCAGGTTCATGTCCCGGCTACTCCACTTCCCATCCAACTCCCTGCTTGAGGCCTGGGAAAGCAGTTGAGGATGGCTCAAGTCCTTGGGCCCCTGTACCCACATGGAAGACCCAGAAGAGACTCCTGGCTCCTGGCTTTGGACAGGTTCAGCTCCAGTCATTGCGGCCATTTAGAGAGGGAACCAGTGTAGAGAAGATCTGCATCTCTCCTTCTGTCTATAAATCTCCTTTTCCAATAATAATACATTTTCAAAATAAATAAATAAATATTTTTTAAAAACACCTAATCCTCTGCTGTCAGTGAGAGCGCTGGTGGGTAACAACGCGACTCTGGCATATTCAGAGGAACGTGGGTGTCAATCCACATGGGCGCTGACGGCTGGGCTGCTCTCTTTGCACTTACAGACTCCTCACACAACCACGAGCACATCTGGGGACCTCCTTGCATCACAGAACTTCTGGCTTCACAGGCACAACAGAGCAGACGTCCAGGTACTCCAACTGGAGCAAGACCCTTGGACCGGGTAGCCACACAGATGGGATCCTTGCTTACTACCAACCACCGTCCCCAAAGGACTAGGGCAAATCAGCTCTCCAGGTCAGCCTCTCTCCTTGTCTCGGGCTCTCGGCACACAGGGTCTCCCCTCCGGCCGGCCGGCCACTCATCTTCCCATCCAAGAGAGTCATTTATCAACGTAGAGACGCTACAGTACCTTTTGAATGGTTTTCTGATCCTTTTCTGAGTTCTCTTTCAGACTTAGATATTCAGCTTCTGCAAACAAAAGCAGGAAGAGGCCAACCATGAAATTACATGCGTATGGCCCTACATTCAAGGCTGCCTGCTCCGGGCTGGGCGGCACAGCCCCCTGGCAGGCCTGGTGGACATCAAGCCCTAGCAAGACTGCGACCTTCACCACCGCCCTTGACATTCACAGCCTTCCCCCCGCTGTTCAGACGGCTGGTCGGAGAGGGGATGAAGAAGTAAGTTCAAGAGCCAAGTGTGGCTGAGGGCTTGTCCTGGTGCCTAACCATGGATGCTTTCTGTTCTTACGCCGCATGGCCGATTTGAGTGGTTAGCAGGTGGCGTTTTACGACTTAATAAGGACTACCACAATCTGAGAACAATTTTTTTTTTAAAAAATTATGGCTCTGCTGTCTGGGAACCATATTGGCACGGTGCGCTTTTTTACATTCCTAAGGTTTTTTCAGATTAAAGGCAACACTGTGTAATTGTCACCAAGGCGAGGGCGACAGTCAGAGAGTAACCTAACTGGCGATTTCATGCCAATGTTCACCAACGTCTGAGGGGCTGACGGGCTTCCCCAGACGACACGTGAGCGAGTGGGACTTAAAAGTTTCTACCAGAAATCCAAAGCCGTGAGTCGTGGGCAGTCAGTCGGCGTGCTTCTCCCTGAAGGGCTGACCCTGTCTCCCCCGACTTTAAGGGGTGCCCTTGGGTGTGCATGGGTGGGGGGGGGATACTCAGGTATTACAGTGTGGCAAAGTTAAGGAGAACCGGTTCAGGGAAGAAAGCCAACGTGCTCAGGTTCTCCTCAGCGTATGAAAGCAGGACGTGGGTCGCCACACTCGAGCCGAGGCTGATACTCTGCTCTGAGTTCACGGCTTGAGAGTAACAATACCAGACAGACCCTCCTTGTCCCCAGCAACAGATGACGGCCTCGGCAGAAGTCAAAGACAGAGAGCATGCGTACCTTCTCATCTGCTAAGTGGAAATAAAAGGGACAAGGCGTAGCCGGGCATTTTACGAAGCACCCAGTGCATGGATGTATTGGGTTCTTTTTTTTTTGGGGGGGGGGTGCTTTGTGCAAAAAGGACTCCGAGCCGTGATACCTAAATCCGCATTTTCTTTGAGGTTCATCTGCAGCTCTTCTTCGAGTTCTGCAACGACCTGCAGCAAGCGCTCGTTCTCCAGCTTGTATTCCAGGACCTCCTTGTCCACGTTTGATTTGGTAGAGCTGGTCTTTATGGCAAAGGAGTCCTGCGAGAAGATGGAGAGATCCCATTACTTCTCTCCGAGAGAGGGAGAGGATTTACATATGCGACGCCACGCACAATAACGGATAATGGCAGAGCAGCGATGCTATAATTTTCTGAATGCTGTTGCATGCTTACAATATGAATAGTTAAAAAAAAAAATAGAACGATGAAAGAAAGAAAGAAAAGAAACGCAAGGAGACTCCACGGAGCTTGCGCGAAGAAAAGCTGCGCAGCGCCTTCGGCACAAAGACCGCGGCCCATGGGGGCATTTTTTATTGATGGGAATAATGCATATCATACTGTTTGTGTGCCCTCATCATTCAGGTCAATTCATTATGGAGCCTGTGTCCGGGAGGCAGCTGGGGCCCCCCTCCACCCACAGCTCCCTGTGTGTGTCTGAAGTGCTGCTGTCCGCCTGTAACCAGGCAGGCCGGGGGTGTTGGGGGGAGACCGGGACGGGCAGCGCCAGGGGGTGGCAGAGTGCGACGGGCTAAGCGGGGGCGGGGGTGCGGGGGGCGCTCGTCGTCTTTGTGGCATTTCCCTGGTGTCGGGAGGAACACATCACACGTCAAGGCGGTGACGTTTGCAGGCTGGGAGCCGCATGGAGCCCGTCAGGCGCGCGGATATGCACACAGTTGGCTTTCTCTGGGTGGAGGAGCCACCCAGAGGCAATTCACACGCGGCGGCACGTTAACGTGGCTTTGCATGCCTGTCACCCGCGCCCAGCCCTGCGCGGGCCTCTCTCGGGAGGGGCTATTGAGGGCCTCGGTTTAAATCTCTATGCCAACAGTGATTACCTCGTAAGAAGGTTTCCCCTGATAACTTGCAACAAAGGACTTCTAAAGTTATAGTTTTGGTAAGGCCAACTCATTTACATTTTTATTATGTGTGTCCTTTGTTTAAATCTTGCCTTGGGATGGTCTTTTTCTAATGCAACAGCAGCGGATGCGGGGGACAGTCGCTCTTTCTTTCGTTGTGGGGGTCTTCGCGTCTGCCTCCGGGAGGCTATTGAAAACATCTGAATCTGTTCCCTAAAATGCTCGTTCCTGCCAGCCCCCACCACACAGTTCTGCTAAAAATTAAGACGTAAGGACTCGGCGAGGCTGCCGCACAGCGTCAACTCTCCCGGAGGACACAGGAGGAGGATCTCGGGGCCCCGGAAATGTTAGAGAGGTGTCAGTGTGTGCACAGACTGGAAGAGTCTGCATGCCTCACGCCCAAGGGCTGACAGACGCTAACAAGATATTTCCGAACTTTACCCCCTAGGTCCATTTTAACTTTTTTTTTTTTTTTCTGATAGTAAACCATAATGGTACAAAAGTCAGAAGAAATTCTTCCCCCCCAGAAGCACAGTCATTCCTATGCAGGTCCCGGTTCCCTCTCGGGCTCTTAAGGCAGGTCGCAAAAGAGAAACAGGTGGCCGGACTGCACTGCTCTATGTCAGCTAAGACGCCCTGACAGCACAGTGACTTTTGGATGACATGGTTTGCGTGATGAGCAGTGACATTCTAGTGCCAAGCTCAGTTACAAGCCCTCAGCGCTGTACCTTGCCGCCGCAGCGTGCCTGCTTCATTTTCAACCAATGAGAACTCAGGAATCGAGAAAGTCAACAACACTCTTTTCTTAAGGGGGGGGGGGGACAACCCAATCATCGATTTCTCATCCCATCAAGGCTCCCTTTCCAGGCCACCCCAGGCGAAATATCAACAAGTTGTCTGTGGACTCAAAGTGTCTTTGGTTGAAACAGACACTGAAGGTGCCAGGCAGCGTCAGGCGCGGGACAAGCCCACAGGCGGGGAACAGGGACGTTCCTTATCCACGGGGCGCTTTGAATGGATCAGAAGAAGCAGAAGAGCCGAGGGCCTGAACACGGTTCCTAAGGACCTTGATGGGGAAGCAAGCAGCGACTAGGGAGGCACTGCCCTCCAGGAAAAGTGACCCTTGGCTATGCCCTCACTGTCCCCAGGCCACGGCAACACTCACTATCGGCAACAAAGGGACAGCTCGTGGGGGCGAGGGTAGGGGTCTGCTGAGGTCTTGGGTGACACTCGGAGTGGCAGGTTTTGTGGTGGGGCTGCTACTGCAGCCATCTGCCCACATGACAAGTCTGGTCTAAGGTGCAGCTGAGGTGTGTGTGTGGGTGAGGGTGTGTGGGTGTGGGTGTGTGCTGTGATCCACCTGGAATTTTGCAGTATCTGAAGGTGCCGGTCACGCTCAGGGTTTCCTGTTCTCAGACAACCAGGACATCAGGGGGGTGTTGCATGTGGTGTGTGTGTGTGTTATTATTCCACCACCACCACCACCATCTGGCCACGGCGTGCAGCACTGCTGTTCCCTGGCTCCGGGATCCCAAACGGTGAGAGAGGAGTTAGAGTGGGTAGTAGGCAGTTAGGGTATTCTGGGTCCCCGAATAAAAGAGAATTTCCCCACCATGTCTTGGACTCACCAGAGCACGTCTCTTTCAAGGGACAGGGGTGCTATTAGCATACCAATTCCCCACCTGAAGTATCGGCCATCCCCTCTGGCCATCGTGGGAGGGCCTCAGGCTGATCTCTTTATCATTGAAAGGAGAGCAGGAAGGAGTAATACACATCTGCCTAAGGCCTGGAATGTCCTATGTCTGGCACCTCTGTGGCCTTTTGTCCCAAGGCCAGGTACCATGGAAACTAGGAATTTTCTTTGTTCATGGAGAAACATCTTTGAGGGAAACCTTTAAAAGGTGCATTCCCCACCATTGATACGGGTTTTGCTTCTTGTCCTCCTGCCACTATGGCAGGGGGTGAGGGTCCTTTCTATCTCAAAACCCCCTCCCGTTGCTAGGACGGGAGTCTTCTCTTCTCAACCTTTCTAATAAATCCTGCTTTAAAACTAAACCGTGTCCACATGAAAATTCTTCTTTCCTGTGAGACAAGAATTTGAGGTTGCTGCCATACTCGGAGTCAAAAATCATGCAACAACGGAATCTCTCAGAGAACGTTTTCTGTAAGACAGGCCTGTGAGAAGGCCTGGCAACTCAGAGTGGGGTCTGTGGACCTGGAGCCTCCTTGGGTGGGTCTGTAGCTTGGTGAAGATCTGCTGAGGCTGGTACTGCGGGTGAGCCCGCAAGCTTGTCTGTGCCACCCCGCCCCTCGGCTGCTGTCCTGGTCGTCCGTGGTCCGTGCTGTCAGCGTCTCCATCCTGCAGGCTCCATACACAGGGGACCAGTGGACGTCTCAATCCGATGTCGGGGCGGTGGGCAGTGGGGAGGGGGAGGAGTAGGGCTCTCATGCGAGCCCGTGTCTCATGACAGCCATGGAGGAGAGCAGGTGCATCCCCAGTGACTGACAGGCAGGGAAGTGGCACGCTGGGGCAGCGCGGCCCTGCAGAGCTGCCTGCTGAATGCCAGCTCTGTTTCAGGCCTGTGGGCAACAGGCAGATACGATCCCCCAACACAGGGCTGGTGGGGGGCGGGCGGGGAGGTGCTGGCGATTGCGTGTGGCTTGGCCGTGTCGCGGGAAAAGTGAACAATGGCACGTCTGTCTCAAGTGGCAAGTCCGGCTGAAATGAAGACGCGCGTGCGCGCATCCGCACACCAACATGCTCCCACCCCCCTACGTGGGGACCCTCAAGGGACTGGCGGACAGCAACTGCCGGCAGAACAAAACAGAAGAACCTCACGCCCCCTCCCCACCCCGCGACACTTGGGACGGTGTGCCAGCAACCAGGGAGCTTCCTTGCCCAGAGCCCATTTGGCCTCACAAACGGTATACAGGAAAAGGCAGTATGACTGCTTATTGTCCCCCCACAGAGCGGCTTGCGTCATCTGGCTGTGGGTTCAGAAGAAAAGAGTGAGCTTGAGAGAAACTAGAGCTTACATGTGTCTATAGATTTTCAAGTTATTTTCGTGCGTGTTTTTCAGTTTGGGATTGCTTTCCCCACTCATCCTGTGTCTGTGCGAGCATGAGATGGCGCAGGACTGTCTACACCACTAGAGGGAGCCGTTGTACAAGATAAAAGTTTCAAAGCGACAAGTGCTCCTCTATTAACGGAAATCTTGCCTCTTTTAGGAAAATGGTATCAGAGCACTAAAGAAAAAAAGAAAGTATTTCTCAGGAATTCGCTGTGACCCAATATCTGATTCTGTGTCACCCCATTTTGACACCCGAAACCAACATATGCGTCTAAGATTAAAATTCCCTCACATCATAGCACACCTGTGGGAATTCTGATGCGCTCTCCCTAGGGGACAAATTACGGTGGCATTAGAGCAGGCGCCGGGCAGGCTGCTGAAGGCACTGCTTGCTTGGCACGCCCACAGCGCATCACACACTGCCTGGGTTCGAGTCCCAGTCATGCCACTCATGTGGGAGACCCAGCCTGAGCTCCTGCCGTTGGCCTGGCCTAGCCCTGGGGGAGAGCTCTGCCGGTGGAACATCTGTCTGTGTGGATGTGTGCCGCACCTGCCCTCCAGATTCAAAAACAAGATCATCCTCAGGGCTGTGCGGTGATGCAGTGGGTTAATCCTCTGACCTTAAGCAACAGTATCCCATGTGAGCACCGGTTTGTGTCCCAGCTGCTCCACTTCTCATCCAGTTCCCTGCTTGCGGCCTGGGAAAGCAACAGCAGAGGACCCAAAGCCTTGGGACCCTACACCCACATGGGAGACCCAGAAGAGACTGCTGGTTCCTGGCTTAGCTCACCTGCAGCAGATGTGGCCATCAGGGGATTGAATCAGCAGAGGGAAAACCTCAGCTATATCTCATCCTCTCTTATAAAATCTGCCTTTCGGATAGATAGATACATAGATAGGAAGGAAGGAAGGAAGGAAGGAAGGAAGGAAGGAAGGAAGGAAGGAAGGAAGGAAGAAAGAAAGAAAGAAAGAAAGAAAGAAAGAAAGAAAGAAAGAAAGAAAGAAAGAAAGAAAGAAAAAGAAAGAAAGAAAGAAAGAAAGAAATTGAAAAGAACCATTGTAGCAAGGCTGTGAATGTATTCTGAGTGCTGCCCTGACCCAGGGGACAGACCCCTCCCCAAGGCAGGCAGTGGGCAGCTGGGAGACCCTCCTGACTCCCACGGCCAGCCATGCGCCTGGAAGGAGCCTCCTCTGAGTTCCTCTTCCGGACGTTTGGACATGAGGGTCACGCTGCTGGAAGACTTGGATTGGGCAAGATCGGCTCCATGCCCTTGAAACGACCTTGAGAGCAGTGCAAAGAATCGCAGACAAAACCCATCACATACTCCTTTAGAACCAGATTGGTTTTGTGGGTTTTTCGTTTTGCTTTCAGTCAGTGGCGGTTATTCGATTTTCACTATAAATCTTAAAATTGAGGACTAACTTTGCTGTTCCTGCTGTTAAAGCTACAACGAGTTTTCTGGAACACAGACTGGCTGGGCTGTACTTGAGCTTAATACAAGCCCTTGGCTGTGCTTGAATTTCTTTGCCTACATTCTATTTATTATTATTATTATTATTTTATTGGAAAGGCAGATATACAGAGAGGAGGAGAGACAGAGAAAAAAAATCTTCCGTTCGCTGAACTGATCCGAAGGAGCCTCTTCCGGGTCTCCCACGCGGGTGCAGGGTCCTAAAGCTTTGGGCCGTCCTTGACTGCTTTCCCAGGCCACAAGCAGGGAGCTGGATGGGAAGTGGGGCTGCTAGGATTAGAACTAGTGCCCACATGGGATCCCGGCACGTTCAAGGCAAGGACTTTAGCTGCTAGGCCACTGTGCCGGGCCATCTTTGCTTACATTCAAAGGGACCCTTCTTTCCCTTCCCATACTTACCACTTTTTTGAACCCATATTCCTCATTTTGGTCCAGTTCTTCTTTTAACTCTTTGATCAGTTCTTCCCTCTCTTTTAATTTTCTTAGCAAAACGCCCATCTTGACACTGGTTACGTCTTGCAAAGCAGCCTTCTCTTCATCTACGTCGAAGAAATGCTGGGGGAACAGAACACTGAGAGTTAGACGCTGGTGGGGCGGCTGAGGGGTCGACACCCCCGTTCGGGTTCGAGCTGAGCTGCTGCCTGTGTAGCACGGTGCTATTGAGGAACTGTTGAGATGTAAACACGCCCCAGCTGTAGCCAACTGCCTAGGTGGCACTGTACCCAGGCAAGGGCTACACAGCTGGGAGAAAAGCAGCCAACAGCTGGCGGGCATCCCGGGATTGGCTAATGCCAAGTATGTGTTAACTATAGCAGTATATCAGCACAGTCGGTTCTTCTTTTTAAGTGGTCAATCAGGATTTATAATCAAATCTGGGGCACGGTTATATCACTGGCTTTTTTTAATTATTTCTTCCTTTTTTAAAGTTTATTTGTTTGAAAGCAGAGAGAAAGAGAAAAAGTTGCTTTCATCTGCCATTTCAACCCCAAGTCCCTCCCCATAATAGCTGTGCTCAGGGCAGGCCAAAGCCAGGAGCCAGGACCTCAGTGAATCCCAGTCTCCCACGTGGGTAGCAGGGACTTCGGTACCTGAGCCATCACTGCTGGCTCCCAGAATGAGGGTCAGCAGGCAGCCATGTGGGACGCACAAGAAGAAGTCAATGCTAGGCATTGTGATGTGTGGGATGGAAGTGTCCACAAGAGTAGCTTAACCCACAGCGCCCTCACACCGGCTCACCCTCACACCGGCTCACCCTCACACCGGGCTCACCCACACACCGGGCTCACCCCCACACCGGGCTCACCCTCACACCGGCTCATGGCTTTGGATTACTAAAGTGATGTACGGTGTCATTGGTCCTTGCGTCACAAGCCTCATGTTAGAACATATTGGACAACACAGCTGGCCATGGCTTGGGGGTGAGAAACAGACTGGGAAAGTAAAGTGACCCTGTTAGTCTGGGTCCCCTCCCACCCCGAACCAACAGGATTGGGAAGTAGAAGGAGATGTGGAGATGTGGGGGGAGGAGCTGGGTTCAGCCGTGGATGCAGGTGTAGTCATAGACGTGAACTTGGATGTGGATCTCGTTGCGGATACAGACTGAATCATAGGTACAGGTTGGATGTGGATGCGAGTGTAGCTGTGGGCAGAAGAGAGGGCCACCTTGGGGGAACCGGCTCCTGGGATCGTGCCGGGAGCCGACAAGGCCTAAGCAATATGGCTGGCCTGCAAACTGGAGAGCCTGCTCGCTCAGTCCCAGACCAAAGGCCCGAGAGCATGAGGGCTGCTGGCCCAAACCCAAGAATCCAAAGGCCAGAACCTGGTGTCCCCAGGAGGAAGAGACACACGTCGCGGCCCCGGAAGACAGGCACAGAGAGAGAGAGAGAGAGAGAGAGAATGCAAGTGCACAGATTGACCTTTTTCTCTCCCTTTGCACAGAGCCTCTCACTGCCACCGAGTGCACTGATTCAATGGCCATTGCTCTCCGGAACCCCTCCTGCCCAGAATCACGCTTCACCAGCTAGCCAGCTGCCCCATGACGACCCATCACAGTGCCCTTGGCACTGGATCGAAGCAACACACTCTTGCTAACCAAAATGCTGTTCTGTAGGAACACAGTGGGGGCGGGCCAGGGTAAAGCTCTGCCCTTCCTTTTGGGGGCTCGGACCGAAGACCCCACACTGCAGCTCAGTGTATTCAGAGTGGAAGAGGACACTACGAAGTGCTATTTCTTCCCTTACACAGAGTGATGTCCTTTAGTGTGACACCCAGTTACCCAGTACATGAGGAAAAGACGACATTTTAACCTCTCTGCCTGCTCTTCCTGAGGGACTGGGACTACGAGGGCACGGCGGAGGGTCCGTCCCGGCGGAGGAAACCTGTCCCAACCATTGCCAACCGAGTCTGCCATAAACCCATGGCGATCTACGATCTGGGGGCTCTGCACCTGTTCCGCTGTCACCTCTCCCAGTAAGACAGGCAGTCTCCCCGGGATGCATCTCTGGCTTGCTTTCTTCACCTGGTCCTGGAGCTCTGTGGGAAGAGGGATGTTACTTCCTCAAGCCTCGCAGAGACCCGGATGCTGTTTCCCTTTCAGAACCTGGCTGTCTGAGCAAGACACAAGGATTCTCTCATGGCCCCAGGACAGAACGCAAATCCCCGTGCACTCTGCTCTGCCACCGTTACCTGCTCCCCCAGAACTCCTGTTGCCCGTGTAGCCGTGGCGGCAAGCTCCCTCCTGGTGCCATGCACCTGAAGCCTCCCTGAGGCCACACATGCCACGTCCCCACCTCCCTCCCATCTTCCCCAACAGTCACCATCTCCCGTGCTTCCATGCACAGCTTCCTACACCACAGGGGAGCAGTTTCTACACTCCCTGCAGCTGGCGGGCTGGGGGGCTTCTGTTCCCAGCTGCTCTCTGTTTTATGCCACGAGGGGGCTCACCAGCGCAGTGAACTGCTTTCACCAAGCCCACGAATGCAGAGAGAGAGAGAGAGAGAGGAGACGCTGGCAAGGCAAGAGTGGTGCTCAGGTGTCTCAAAACCAGGGGAGTGCCCGTACCCACTCCAATACCTTTGCTGCACCCCCACTGGTTGGAGGGCGGTTCTATGCACTCACTTGGAGAAACTGGGGAAGAGGACGAAGAGGACGGGGTTCTGGGGCCACCAGGGCCACCTGCAGAGGTCAGTCAGTCCCAGCTTGACTTCTGACCCCACATACTTAGGGGGTAACAGGTGGCCACCCAAGAAGCTAAGTGATTATCACCCATATGGGAGATCTGGCAGGAGAGCCCAGCAGCAGGGCAGGCTCTGACCTGACTCAAACCTGACCTTACAAAAACAAAACGTGATACTCAGGGAAAACCGACTTAAATGGGGAAAAATGTACACAGCCTATATTATGAAAACTATAAAACATCATTGAGGGCCCAGCGGTGTGGCCTAGTGGCTAAAGTCCTCTCCTTGACCACACCGGGATCCCATATGGGCACTGATTCTAATCCTGGCTGCTCCACTTCCCTTCCAGCTCCCTGCTTGTGGCCTGGGAAAGCAGTCGAGGACAGCCCAATGCTTTGGGATCCTGCACCTGTGTGGGAGACCTGGAGGAGGTTCCTGGCTCATGGCTTCAGATTGGCACAGCACCAGCCGTTGCGCTCACTTGGGGGGTGAATCATTGGATGGAAGATATTTCTCTCTGTGTCTACTCCTCTCTGTATATCTGACTTTGTAATAAAAATAAAATAAATCTTTTTAAAAAATCATTAAAATGGGCCCAGCATGGTAGCCTAAAGGCTAAAGTCCTTACCTTGTATGCGCCAGGATCCCAAATGGGCACCGGTTCTAACCTGACTCATCCAGTCCCTGCCTGTGGCCTGGGAAAGCAGTGGAGGATGGCCCAAAGCCTTGGGACCCTGTACCCGTGTGATAGACCCAGAAGTAACTCTTGGCTCCTGGCTTCGGATCAACTCAGCTCCAGCCATTGCAGCCACTGAAGGTGAACCAACAGACAGAAGATCTTCCTCTCTATCTTTCCTCCTTCCTGTACATCTGACTTTCCAATAAAAATAAATTTAAATCTCGGGCCCGGCGTGGTGGCGCAGTGGTTAAGGTCCTCACCTTGCACGCCCGGGATCCCATATGGGCGCCGGTTCTAGCCCGGCAGCCCCGCTTCCCACCCAGCTCTCCGCTTGTGGCCTGGGAGAGCAGTCAAGGACAGCCCAAAGCTTTAGGACCCTGCACCCGCGTGGGAGACCCGGAAGAGGCTCCTGGTTTCGGATTGGCATAACATCGGCCGTTGCACTCACTTGGGGAGTGAATCATCGGATGGAAGATCTTCCTCTCTGTCTCTCCTCTCTGTTTATCCGCCTTTCCAATAAAAAATAATAATAATAATAATAAAAATAAATCTTTAAAAAATAATAAATTTAAATCTTTAAAAAAAAGTCATTGAAATGCAGAAGACATAAATGAATTAAGAAGCAGGTTATAGTCCCTTGGTTAGGCAAGCTTGAGTGTTAACAGAGGCTGTGAGTTCTTCCAAAAGTCTTCACAGCAAAACATACAAAATGATGGAAACCAACTATTTTGAAGCTTATCTGGAAGCATTTAAAAATGGAAGGCCGTTTTGAGAAAGACCTTACTAGTTACGAAAATGAATTCTGGGGAGCAGGCAGTGGGCCTGGTACTTAAGTGACTCGTGTGCCACATGGGAGCCCCTGGGTGCGACACCTGCCTTGGACTCCTAACTCCCATGCCGGTGTAGCCCCTGGAAGTGAGTCTGCGATGGCTCTGAAACTGGATACCTGCCTCCTGTGCGGGGACACCCCGAAGGAGGGTCTGGCTCCTGGCTTCGGCCTGGCACAGACCAGCCCCCTCCAGGGATGAGGGTATTTGCAAAGTGACCAACATAAAGCAGCTTACTCTGCCTCTCAAATAAGTAAATCATCTCAAAAAATTTACAATTGTCACATTGTTTTTGACCTAAGGAAACGCAATATAGAGCCACAAAATAGCATAGACAACCCCACAATACAACTTTGATTATAGGAGAAACACTACGAATCAATGGAAGAGGAATCGATTTCAAGAATGTGAAAGTTTTACACAGTCTGAAATCCAGTGGCAGCATTCCTGTTTGTTTGTTTGTTTGTTTATATCCCTCCATTCTGTTTTTCTGGGAGTTTTCAGGTGCCCAGATCCCTTTATGAAATCTCCACATGTCTGAAAAAGCCAGAGTGGGGTTTTTTTTTCTCTTAATTGAATTTTGCCTGACACATTTCCAAAGCCCAAAAAATGGCTGGGCATGATGTAAAGTTTCCCTAGCAACACTTGGACCTAGGCAGTGTCCCACTGCTGGGAGAAAAGCAGCCAGCAGCTGGCGGGCATCCTGGGACTCGCTAATACCAAGTTCGTGTTAACTGTACAAGTATGCGAACACAGCTGCTCATTCTTTTTTTTTTTTTTTGCACAAGGATGTCCACTTTCACCACAAATATTCAACATACTACTGAAAGTCCTCAACAGAGCTATGTGAGAAGAAAAAGAAATTAAAGAAAC